ATTAAGGTTACTTTGAAAGGTATAAAGACATTACTAGTATTCTTTTTGAGTGCATATGTGTAAGAGAATGTGTGTTCTTTTATGTAACAGGAGAATTCCAGAAATATTGGGCAGTCTGCTAGTTCATTGCACAAAATAAATAGCTTTTCTTTTGTTCTTACTGGCAATCAGATTAGCCTATTGATTAGAAATATCTGAGCCTTTCATATTTGCTTTTAAAAGAGCATAGCAAAATAAGATACCTTGTAAAGCCTGTTACAAATGTTTAGTTTTCCAGGTCTTCATGCATCTGTGACAAGGAATGCATTTTAAGGAGACATTTGTAGAACACCAGGGGTCTGCTGGAACCTCTGCTCTGTCTCCAGGTGTAAAGTTTCCGAACACCCACTTAAAGTGGCAGTTTGGTGATAAACTTAGTTGGGAATGAAGCCCCAGGCGGTGAGAGGCCTGCCTTGTTCAGCAAGTGATTGATAAATACGCTTTATCATGAGTCAGGCGTTCTCTAAGTCATTGCAGGAAATTCTGCTCGAGCCCTTGATGTTTGTTTTTGCAGAGCTGTTGGTATAGAATAGAGCAAGCAGCAAAACCAGATGTTTTACAAGTTAATTTATATTCACAATAGCAATTTTTCACTAGCGCAGCGCATCCATTGACGTGATGGTTTAGATATTCTTACAACATAGCATCAAAAATTCAAGAAGTTGTCTGAAAATGTTGAAGCCAACATCAGGTCTTCACAGGAAACCTGCTCTGAGAGTGGCAGACTCCGTGCTGTTCCCTTTGATTGCAAAGTGTTTAATAAAAAGCAAATTAGGAAATGAAAATAGTCTCGTGGATCAATCAGGTGCAGCAGCTACACCTGTTCTGCATTATCTGTCAGACATTAACCTGATTGGGAATGGTTTACTTTGTGTAAGAGCCTCAAAATCAAACTGAAGGGTTGACTTAAAAAATACCTGATGTATTTTGTGTGTGCTCTGAGGCTGATAACGAACTCTGCAGTTCAAGTTTTAATAACTAGGGGGGAGCTAAGAAACTTCAAAAGGCTCCTGATAAATGTTTTTGACAATGCGTCAGCTGAACATTAGGCAGAATCTCGGTAAATCCTCTCATAAGTGGTTTAAAATGGAGTTTTGAACTTTTCCTTCATAAGTGTATGCTTAAGATGTCAGGGTATCTTTAGGTTTAAAAGACTCGGTTTATCTGGTGTATGTGAGCCATTGGTGTTTCTGTCTACACCTCCGAGAGTGAAAGGGGGGAAAAAGTTCAGCAGTTTTCTCCTTTGGGCAACCTCTGCCATTGCTCTTGACCATGAAACTCGTGCAGGAAAAAGGAAAAGCCAGTTTCAAAGCATACTAACAAGATACTGCAGGTAAATAACACAGTAAATCTTCCGAGCTGACAAGCTTTCCGAATGACTTCATCGCAACAGCGCTAAAACGTCCTGCTCATAGACAAAAGCAATGCTTGCACATGGCAACTGCTTGTTGGGTTTTGTGGTTCATTGAGAAAAGCAGATGAAAGCAAGTTTATTACTGCTCTTTGAACCTTGCCTCCCTCCCCCTCTCCTATCACCTGAGCCACTAAAAACAAAGCAAAAACAATTCCTTCCTTGGCTCCCCTTGAAGAAAGAGCCTGACTTTACAATTCCTGCTGCTGTTTTCTTTGAATTTTTATCTTTGCAGGACTTGCTCTGCCTCATGACATCCTTTATGTTTCAAAAGAATGGAGTTTACAGTGTCAAGCAGTGAAGCCCTGACTCAGCAAAATGCCTAGGCCCTCGCCTAATTTTGAGCCTATGAATAGCTCCGCTGGTGCTATCAAGGTTTTAGGGATATACGGCTAAAGACTGTGCAGAAAAATGGTATTACAGAAAGTGCTGAAAACCCACCCATATTTTATAGGAATGAAGCATGAAAAAATATGCATGTTGACAACCCTAACAGTGCTCAGGGAATCTCCAAAAGACACCCACCCCGATGAAGTCCGAAAGTGTTAAGAGACTGCTTAGGAATTATTGCTGATGATCCACTCCAGAGCCAGAGTGTATAATATACTGTCTGTCTCTTGCCTATGAATTGTGAAAAATGAAATTAGTGTAGCATTAGAGCCTACCACGCTGGGAAAATGTTTGCATCTATGTTTCTTTTATGGTAAGTTACCTACTTTAAATTTTTTCACTACTACTAAAGAGGCTTGATTTTGTTCCTAGACTCAAATTATTCCCTTCCTTCCCAAACCCCTTTCTTTCTTCCCAGAGTCCCTCAAGGGGAGAATTTGTTGTACTTCGACACTGGCATCTCCTGTTGGCAAATCTCAGTAGCAATATGGGATGATGCAGAAAGGAGCTGCTTGACTTGCGTGGTGGTGGCTTTGTGTGATCTCCATTTCCCATTCTGAGATGTCAGCAAAGTGGGCCAGACTTCCAAATGCACCCAGTATATGGGAGTTCACATTATTCCATGAGGGAGTTGATGAATTCTGTGCCTTTGGAAATTAGCCCTTTTCTCTAATTCTTAACCAAATAAACCTTTTTTCTTCATAATGATAGGAGAAAATGGGCAACCAGCTCTTCTAGGGGTGTATTTTAAAAGGTAGTACCATTTGCATTTTCATTCTGTGTTGTAATTTATGTTCACTCTTCATGAAATAGTGGTTAGTGGTTAAAATCCTGTATTAGGCATGAAGATTCCCAGATTTGCTGTTCTGACTTTGCATGCTAGGACACTGTGAAGATGGGTCTTTGCAGGACTTCTCTTTTCCCCCATCCATATGTAGTTGTTAGCAAATTCACCCAGGTAATGAACTGATTGTAAAAGGCAAGGAGGTCAGTGGAAGTAAAATGTTAGAGATGTAAAATATCGCTTAAGGTGGTTTAATTTCTGTTCCTGGGGAGCAATAAAGCATAAATTCTCTGTACAGTCATAATAGTTATTGTAATGTTACCTGTAGGATAGAAGAATAATTTGTGTTATTAAGCACCATAACAATTTTCAATATAAAAGAATGGATTTCTTTTTGGCTGCAGTAATGTTGGCCCCTGTCTATAGGTTGTGGAAAACTTTGTTTGCAAAAACAAAGCTATTGTTTTAACAAAAACCACAGAAATTTTGCCTTTCATATTGAATCAGTAGCATAATGAGTAGTGGAGCAATAGTTCAACATCAAAGGAGACTTCTTGGATATATAGTGTGTTGCAACAACAGCGAAAAAGTTCCCACCAGAAAGGAATTCTGCCATATGTGAGCAGCAAACATATGTATTAGGTTAAAACCATAAGATTTCCTTTGCTTTACACCAAAAACAAGAGACAACTTGACTACAAAGATTTTCAAACGGTCGTGCACTGGAATCTGCATAGAGAACAAGCAGTGTCTGAGGGTTGGAGCAGTGACAGTGGACTAAAGCTCTATGAAAACCTCAAAAGCATTGGGGATGCACCAACAGTTTGGCTCAAACATCAGTATTTCACTTTCCAAAGACACTTGTTTTGCTCTGACTCATGGCATTACATCAGTGATCTTCATAGATATGTCTTCCCAATTTATTTACAGTAATAATAATAAGGAGGTTTTGCCCAGATAGCCCATACTTCCAGCTTCATGGACTCAGGACTGAGCATTTTAAGGGCAAAATTTTAAAGCATCTCCACATATATTCCTGGAACAAAATCAGCTTTAATTTTTGTTAACGTCTGCATGGATTTTCTTTAAAGTTCCAGAGCTGGGTTTTCTTCTCATGATGGGGGAGAGAAAACACATCAATGGATGTAATTTGAATTTAGAAGACATTTAAAGAGGGGCCTGTATTCAGAATTATTGTTGGCACATGTTTTGAGGATGTGAAGTGGAAGCCGCCTTCTGTGGGCATTAGTAAGGAGATAATTAAAACTACAGTAGGTAATTATGGTGGCTTTTATTACTGCATCTTTCATTAACTAATTATCTTAATTTGGTAATGTCTGAAAAATTCTTTGAAGATCAAAAGTGCCAGTTATTGCTACCTTTAGTTACAGTATTACTCTGCACTGGTCATAAATACTGAGGTCTTTTCTTGATACAGAATTCCAGCTGTATTCTGGTACAGCTAATAAGAATTACATATGTGTATCACAAAAAGATTCTGCCATTATCTGGCATCATTTGATCAGGATGAGCAGTGACTTCCCTGCTGACACTATGTGTTTCAAAATACATTGTTATTTAACATTTTTAGATGACTTTCTTTCTAATTGTCATTTTATTTATTCAATGCTTGGTATTAGAGAGACAAATCAGTGTGAGCCCAAACTTGCCATTTGTAGGGTAGGAGCAGGAATCAAGCCCTGTCTACTCTCAGGAACACATCAAAAGTAGGAAGTTATTTCAGGTTGAAGAAGCAAAACATCCCACCTTTGGAAATACAGTATTTCCATCGTAATAATCCATTCAAAATAATAATTACTTGTTTATGCAATTCTCCCAGAAATTAATTTATTTCAGGAAATCCAACACTTCTTTTTTAAAATATCCTGTGGTCAAAGGATAATCAAATCAGTTTTCATGTATTAAAGATCAAATCCTTCATATATTCCCATATCACACTTGCTTATGTGATTCCTAGAACTCTTTTCTCTACCAGCTTTTAGTTGATTTAGGTTAAATCCCTGAAACTAGTGCCAAAAATTTATTCCTGCCTTGAAAAAGGACTGTGTGATGCTGGCAGCGTTCCTTTGTGCCTCTCTGTATGCCTTACAAGTTGTTTTGTTTTTAGAGACCCCTCTTCTGCAGCCTCAGCCTGGCACTCACAAGTCAGACTGAATTCCTCTGCTCTCATGCATCAGCCCATCTCTGCGAGCTGCTCAGGCCAAACCCCTCGCTATCTCCCCATGTGCTGCTCTCTTGTCTCCAGAAGTTCTGTGTTACCATGAGCAGAGTTGGGATTGAAGTAAACTTCATTCAACATTTTCCTGGTGATAATGAAGCCACAATAAAATAATAGGAAAACAAAGAAGTGCCTACCTAGAAACGTGGTTCAGATGTTCCTTTCTCCTTTCATATCAGCTGATACCCAAACGTTTCCTGTATCATAGAGACAATGATGGGCTCATCCACCAGCTCCACTTGAGGTCCCAGAACCTGACCATAACATTTCAGTGGTGTGTTCTCAAAGCCATTACTTTTCTCTTCTGTCCTTCTCATGCCTCTGAATGTTGTATGCGACGAAATCATTTACAATATGAATTTATTTTAGGATCCTTTCCATTTTTATAAATAAATGAACTGAACGTTCCCTTTATATGGCTGTAATTCAACCACATTGTTGCAGTCGAGCTTATTATCTCATTTACATTTTTAAGTGCTTTTCAAAGTGTAGGATATCTGGGCTGGAAAGCAAAACATTTCATTTCTTTGTTCTCAGGCCAACACAAAGCACTTCCAAGGTCAGGTATGGTGTAGACATTCAACAGCAAACATGTTTACATGGCATTTGAAAGCCAGTTGAACTGAAAAATACTGTCTCTATAACAGTGATGCAAGTCAGCTCAGCAAAGCCAAGGGACGGGGATTAAATCTGTACCTGGAAAAATTTAACTACAGCAGTTAGGCTTTGTTTTCCTTTCAGGGGAAAAAAGCTTCCGACACTTAAAAATTGTCCTGTGGTTTTTTTGTATTTTTAAGGTCTTTTTCTTCATCTCGACAGTTCTTAAACATAAATTCTGTTTTCTTTGGGCAAAATCCGACACTTTGAAGCTGTAAAATAAAAACTGCATTTCTAAACAAAACCAAACCCGTTAATTTTACAAAAGACATGTTCTGTGTGTACCTGGGGTAAGTTATCTCCTGGTTTTAGAGTATTCCGTGTGACAAAAGCTTCTCTGTTAGATACAGAAAAAGACTGGGGGGTACTGGGTAGCTTCAGAAGCAGCTATCAATGTTCAGGCTCTGGCCACTGCATATGAAGCTTTTTGACAACAGAGAAATTACAGTGTGATCTTCAAAAGAGCTCTTTATTCATGACATTCCTCATGATTCCTCCTAGGAAATGAAAATCGCGGGCAACAAACTTGCTTACTTCTAATTACTATTTTCAGAGCTAGTCGTACGCAGGAATCTATGGCAACCATGAGATTTTGATGTTACTTTCTCTTTTGGCATGGATTTGATCAAATCCTGATGTTTTACTCTTTTGTCCTTGTACTCATAGGAAAGCTGAAATACCCAAATTAATATTAATTACTCATGGAACATCCTTTATCTGCAAAACTAGATTCTACAGAGTGACCAGTGGGAGAGCTGGTGTGCGCACAGCAACAGGCCAAAAAGGGTCAAGTGAGAGGAATTCATGATTGATCAGAGGAGTCAGTCTTTTTTTCTGCCATCCCAATACAAAACGTACCCACAACCAGTTAGGATGTGATTGGAAAAGTCTGTAAAGTCATTCAGTGTGTTCTGGTTTGGACAGTTGGTGAATGGATAATTATAAGACTTGATATGCTGGTAAACACTACCTGGAGCAGGTGGACCTAACAAAAACTCTGTTATCTGACTTTCACAAATTCAGTTACTTTAACATTTAAAGGAACCTCTCATTTTATGCTCTGTGTATGTTTTTCTCTTGTAAATAAGGAAAGTAAAATAGAGAAATTAAGGGATGGAATGGCAGTGCTCCAGTTCTCTTCTTTACCACCATGTGGTTGCTTTCTTTACCAAGAACAATTTGAGATCCTGTTTTGTATTCAGTACTTGCAGGTTTGTGTGGTGGAGCGGGATATAAATCTGTTCCCTGAGCAAAGTTTGTACATACATATACGTGTACGCATTCATACGTATATGTGCTACCTCTTGACCATCTTCAAAGTCCTGTGAAGTAGTGAAGTTTGCTTTTGCGCACAAGGAGGGAGTCCGAGTAGGACGACTGATGTGTAGTGAGGTTTCCTCCCTCCTTATTTTTCACTATGCCAAGGTATTTGGACTGATCATGTGGAAACAGCAGGAGAAGACGGGTCACACATTGCAGTTCATCCAAAACGTGCTCTCTGAATGTTCCTGTGAGTCGTCCAGTACTCATTATGTCTGGAGTCATGGCAGGACTTGTGTCAGACTAATTGGGTCTTTGGTGATCTCCGTGCTACGTGGAACATCCCTGATCTCTATTACACTCCCACATTGCATGACCTGATCATTTTAGGTTTTAAATCAAAGCATGCTTGAGTTTTCCCTTACAAAATTAGACATACAAAAAGAAAACAAAAAGCCTACAATTCTCACATATATTTCATTATATTAATGCAAATTCCTAGTACTTCAAGAGTTGTTGACTATTGAAGACCAGTTACATATTCAAAGCCTGGATTTCAACATTTCTCAGAAGCAGTGATAGCATGAAAGTCCCTGGGCAGATTTGAAGTTCATGCTTGGGTCTGGTTACATTTTTTGGCATGAGAACATGTAATAGTCTTATAGCTGTAAGACTTTAAAGTTAATGCCTGGCATCACTTCAAAACAATGTTCAAGATCTATCATAAGTAGTCCTCTTATCTTATCTCAATAGCAATTTTATCCTGTAAATTATTTGAGAGTACAGTATTTCAGTGCTGTGGAAAAGAGCAAAGGGGTGTTTTTTTTCTGTTAAAACTTTGCACTGTGAGCACTTTCAGTGATCCTGGTTTATGTATAGGTATTCTACGTGGAGGAAGCAAACGCAAACAGTATTGCATGTTCTGTGGAGTGCACTGAGTTCATGGGCTCGCTGGGCTCCTTTCAAGGGTGCTCTGCAGAAGGTCTCTGTGCAGCTCAGGCAACACTGGAGGCACCTTCAATGACATTCATAGCATATCTCCAGTGCAAGTCCCTTCCCAGGTCCTGCCCCGCACCACGCTTTCCAGCTGATGGGTAGCAGTGCCCTGGTTTCCTGGCATACAAAAGATAACTCAAAATATTCCCTTTCTGCTGCCACAGCCGCCTCTGTGTCGATGTCAATCTCACATCCACATTGTGCACTTTGCTTCGAGTCAGCACTTGCAGTTAACAATGCCTTTATTCACGCTGACAACAGAACTAAGCTTTTAGTAAATGTGTAAGTAAATGTTAAGTGTGTATTCAAACATTAACAATGAGTAGGAAACTTGAAAAAAGAAATCTTTGAAACTTTGTATTGTTTGTTTGGTGTCTATCTGTTAGAAATAACATAGACTATCAGTTCCTTGGGGCATGACTGTTCTTTTGTTAAGGGTATAACAAAAAGATCAAGGCTCTGAGGGCCTGCCATAATAAAAATAAATATACAAGAAGAACAATAATGACAAAAGAAATTTGTCAGTGCATTTTATGAGCTTGGTTTTAGAAGTGATTATTTCTGAACTAAATAAAGACTGGATAGTTGTGGTAAAGTGACATGATCATAATATTCCTTTTATTTATTGCCATTTATACTTCATTTGTAGATCACATGCTCGACTTTATATGAACGGGAGGGGAGCCCCTCATCCCACAAACATCCAGTTTCAATAATATGGAATACATTTTCACTGCAAATTCCAGACATGGTTTTCCAGAGAGAGGATTATTCTTCGGGCTTAAAGGAAAAGTTATTGGTTCACGGCAAAAGTGTTCCTAGGAAGCCTGGATTGTACAAATAAGATTATAACAAAACTCAGAGGCATTTGCAAGTGCAACATTTCCATTTCTCTTTCAAGCTTTGAGGATATTTATTACATTTCTAGTGTGAATACTTGTGGCCTGTCATGACATAGAGCTACTAAGATTTCACTCCTCCTGTTTGATGGTTCTACCTGTGCAGAATAGCTTTACTCAACAAGGGTAAACTGTGTCTGTCACATCTCAGCAGCTATCACGTACGGCTGGAAGCAACAGCAGCTAAAGAGCTGCACTGATTCTGCACTGTTTTCTTAATCAGCTCATTAAAAGACATTACCTACAAGTTTTTCTGCCATCCCAAGTTTCTCACGTGTGTTCTGCATCCCTTGGTATTGTTTCAGGCCTTACAAGATGAAGTGGAAAGTTACCACAGTCTGGCACGGGCTGCAGAGAAGAAGCTGCAACGCAGGGAGCTGGAGACCCACGATCAGGTACCCGGTGCTGTCCCCCAGTCCTCTTCCCTTGGGCAAGGAGTCCAATGTTTAAAAACAATATCTTGCTTCAAAGCAAAACCACTGTTTTTTTATGTAATAAAACAGAATTAAACTGTCTGAACCCTGCAGGCAAATACTTATGCTCTCTGTTTCAAGTTGGTATTTCAGCTATCCTAGCTGTTAAATGATGCATTTATTCTGAACTGTCTATACTGTTTTAATAGAGGTTTCTGAGAGTATCCTAGCCTGTTGTTTAATGGCTTGTATGAAGAGAATTATAATTGGATGATAACTGAGCTAGAATAATCTTTATTCCTGATCTTACTCACTCATTGTCCCAGCATGTTGTCTGTAAACAGTTCCATATGATTAATAGCGCTAAAATTATTCTGGATGCTTTCAGTGGAATCAGAGATTTAGTGTGCTTTAAGCGAAATAGTGTATGCAGTTTACAGATGTGCTGAAACTGAGAATCAATGATCTGCATTCAAAACAGAGTGATTTGAAGCATTCTGGAAAATATACAGGTGGTGGCTGTCTGAATCACGGATGAATTTCCAGATTTGTAATGTAAGTCAGTTTCTGCAGCATTTGGGAACTGATTTGGTGCTGAGTAAACAGTATCCGTAACTTACATCCTATCTAAAGCATTTCTAAATCTATACCTGCAGGAATAGTAAGTTGGGGTGGTTGTAGAAGAGTAATAATGATTAGTTTCAAGTATTTTTTCCCCAGTTGTTGTCATCCCACTTGCACATGGGAGCCTTCACTCACCCTTGGTGTTTATATGTTCATGTATTTCCTCTCAGGAGAGCTGGTGATTCTGCTCTCCTCCCCCTCTGCCTCCCAAGTCCAGATGTTGGGCCAGGTTCACCCTTTGCTGCAGTGCCTGCAGGATCGAAGGAATTTGGTGTAATGAGTGAGTTGGCCCACAAGCATTGCGTTTGGCTTCAAAGAGTCTCCTGGAAAAGAAGAAGGAAAATTAGCTATTTGGGGCATGGTCGTCCCTCCCAGGGAGCAGCCCTGGCCTGCACGCTAGGAGGGTCTCTTCCAAATCTCTTGTTTTCCTTCATCTTTGCTTCTGCCATTTTGCTTCTTTTTCTGACCCATTTTGAGAAAGTATCCAGAAGAAGAAACAAAAAATGACTTGTGAAATACAGAGGTAGAAGGTTGGACATGCAGGATGGTCCCTGCTTTCTG